GAGAAACGGAATTAAAGAATAGGTCATTAACCAATCCCTAACTAACCTTCATAAATTACTCCGACCATTTTTGTTCATTTAATTCATCCATTTTAATCCCCAAACCTGGTATTGTTGGACAGAAAACTTTGGAATTGAACTGTGTTGTTTCAAGCATCAAAGACAACTGGTATTACAACGGATGTGCAACTATAGAATGTCGTCGTTTGGTTCGAGAAGAAGTGGAAAATGCAAAACAACGACAAAGGAATCTGTGAAACGGTATTCTTTTCTATCCAAAATGATTTATAAATGATATAGCTTCTCTTTCAAAGAACTTATTGTTCTTGGGTGTATATAAGAAATTCATTTTTGTTAGAGTGAAAAGGAAAGCATAGCCTTTATATAGTTTATTTGTTAATGACTTTATGGCCCATATTAGATGTAATAGTATGTATATTATTTCACTGGTGAATATACATGGTGGTTATCAAGAAACTTGAATAGCTATATCAAAGTTGTTAAATATAATATTTCCTAAAGCAATTGAATCTCACTATATTAGAATGAGCTTTTGAAGTTGTGTTTTGTAATTACTATTCACAAATGCTCTATATGGAACCCTTTCTATATTAACAAGTACGTGTTCATGGTTAGGTTCTGAGAAACTTTCTTTGTATATTAAACATTTTCCAAAAGATAGCAGACCTTTAGCAATTGATCACTATACATTGTTAAGTAATTGTTTTGCACATTTCTTACAGGTTTCGGATTGTCATAGTCGTTTGTGACCAGGGGGACTCAACCGAACTGGTTTTGCTTGATCACACTTCCGAAAAACATTTTGGCATTTCTGCCCAAAACCTTTTTATTCAGACAGAAGGCGATGTCAGTGCCCCACCTACAAAATTACTTCAGCTTCAAGGAAACCAACTGAAGCTGCATATTCGGATTAGTGACTACGACTTTGCCAACCCTTCCAGTAGGCTTACTATCATGAATATTCTGGAAGCAAAAGAATGTACAACAAGAACTCAAACTGTTGTGAAGGAAAATGAGGTTTGTTTATTGAAAATCATTAATCATATCTTAATGTGCTTTCTTTCTTAGATTACTGTTACTCCTCTGTCAGTTTTTTAAACTTAATTGTCCTTATGGCTTTCATGTAGGCTGGCATCCAAAGCACCCATTCGTCTAGCCTGTCTTTGACTATCAGTGGATCCCCGCCAAGATCACCAACACAAGTATCACCTGACAACATTCTGTCTGAGGTGTTGACTCCACAACATGCTCTAGCCAAGGGAACACCTACCACTAGCTCCAAAAAAAAGCATGACGCAATTGTTGAGTGCAACGAGTAGGACAAAGTCTATTCTACTACCCTATCTCCAACCATCGTTCTGATCTAGCATTTCTGTTTTTTTTTTTATATTTTGGATTAATTACTATGGTGAGAAGATAGACAGGTCCAATAGTGATATACATATGTTTGTTTCGCTTTTGCCCTTCTTTGATGGTGCTGATAACAATGAATTGCATATATTATATACTACTGGTGTGTTTAATTAGTAGTAGAGAATTGGTGATTTGCAGTTCAAAACACATAATTCCACTAAGATTCACAAAACAAAGCTGTTGTTCTTCATTTCACAAAACATCGGCCCAAAACTTAAAAGCATATTTAATAATTTAAAACAAAAAGAAGCCCAAAACTTAAAAGCCTCTTAATCATTTAACAAAAAAAAAAAGACGGGCCAAAAATGAAAGCCCAATCGATCTTTGGTCGCCATTCACATACATAAACAACAAAATAGCCCATATAAAACACCTCCATTAGCTGAAAGAGGTAGTGTTGTACTGTATGGAACGTAAAACAATTGATGTTGTTTCTCTCCTTGGCCAGCTGGTTTTGTCGAAAGGGAAACCCTAGAATAAATACGTCGCAGCTGCCGCCGTGCTGGTCCCCCATCTCCCGCATTCGACCACATACAGAATCTACTGGCAAGTATTACATATTCATTCTATTTCTTTTCCCTTTGATTTCTTCATTTTGTCTTCTTTCATAGTTCGAGCAAGAAGTTATTGCTGCCCCAAAAATTTATCACAACCCGATCTGCTATTTTGAAAATGTTGCCGAAAGACCCACATGGTATCTTACAATTAGTTGAAAAGAGGTGTGTTCGAATGCTTTTAGATGTAATGACTCAGTTTCCCTTTTGCTTTTAGATGTAATGGTTGAATCCACAACCTTTCGTGAACTACATCTTGGAACAAGCAACCATTTCCTCATGGCTAGACTGTTAAACATGTGGTCAGAATGTGACTCAGATGGAACTAGATCTATTACCTCAATGCATATGCTTTGGTTAGATAAAGAGGTATGTTTATAAACATTAAACACCTACTGGTTTTACTCTTATCACAAAACAGTTACTTTTAGCTCATTTGTAACATTTTAACTCCTTTAGGGACAACTTATGGAAGCAAATGTACCCTATGAAGATTCTGCTCATATTTGCAAAGACATTGAGATTGGTTGTCTCAATACCATGATGAATCCAACTGTCATACCAGCTAGATCTGAACGTCACACTGCACCTTCCGATTTAAGATTGCATTTCACAAAGGGATCTTCATTGAAAGCGATGAATGAATATCGGAGCACAATGCATTTTCCATATGATTGTTTTCTTCAAAGTCCTTTCAATGGCAGTGGTTCTTCAACAAGTCTTCCACCTTGCTTCTCAGGTATTCATTGTTTATACATAACCCACTGATTTCAACATATTGTATTAGAAATTGATGTGCTAAGTATTGTATATTCCAAAGATCACATAGAACAAAATAACTAAAACATTTTCAAATTTCAGATATCACAGGATGTGTAATGCATATCACCGAACCAACTAAAGTCAGTTATGATATATCTATGTTCCAAATTCATCTTGAAGACATGAGGTACCACTTATAATTAGTTACTATAATGTCTTACTGAATCAAGATTAGTCTATAATCATACTTATAATCCGTTTTCCAACTTTATAGTGGAAACAAAGGACTTGTGAGTTATATTGGCACAAGAATTAAAGATTTCATTGAAAGTGCTATTGCCAAAGAAGTTCATTATCCTCTGGTTATGACATCAACATCACTGACCTGAAACGTGCACGAATTTGACCATATTCCACTGTTCTGTTTCGTAACATCTCCGGGCAGTCGTCTTATTGTACATCCGTACAATGAGATGACCAAAGATTTAATGAACAGGTAAACTGCTATATTTATATGTTCATTTGTAATATATTTTGCATGTTTTCCCCTAGATGTTGTCTAATTTAACTTCCAAAACATTCTAGGTTCTTTCCTAACAGACTGCCTATGGATATCATTGACTACAAATCAAAAGAGCGTCTTGGATACCTTTGGCGCAATAATCCGCCCAGAATCTCATTATTAGAATTGAAGAACAAGCTGGCTTTAGGAGAAGAAGAAACAGAGGTAACTGTAATTACCTTCTATGCTCTGTTATACATTTGTCAAGGAAGTATATTTGACAAATATAAATAAGTTTCAAATTGACTTTCAATAGTAGCAGTGTTTTCAAATACGCATAAATTCTATTTTTTTTCTTTCTCCTATATCAAACTATATCGGTGCAAATTGAAAATAGTCAAATTTGACCTTGATTCTGTGACCCGTCAAGTTTGCCTAGAGACACCGAGTATTTCCAAATACCTTTGCTTTTTGATTCCCCATTATAAAACTACTATACATTGTTGAAATGTATCTAATCTACAAATTTCTCCAGATTATTCTAAGAACTGCAGGCTGAATGTGAATCAGGAAATCACAAGGCAAAGGTCACTCTGGACCATGGACCTGCTCTTGCTTTGCTTCGTATGCCACCGATCGAGTTTTAAAAAATGCCATATGACAAGCGAATTCAGTTGCTGAAAGAATGTTGTAACATCAAATTCATGGCAGAAGTATTCATTATTGGATCAGAATATGAAGTTGAACCACATATCTGCATGTTTGCAATTTGGCATCCAAAAGCATTTCAACCATTACTGGATCTTAAACTGAAGCTATAAACACTGTCCTCATTTTGCATTCGAAGAAGGTACATGTCTTGCCTTTTTTATTTTAACTACAGGAGAATATTGCTATTTATTAACACAACTGAGGCTTTACTTTTAATAATTAGCTTCTTCTTCTATTATTATCTCTGCTGGTAAGACTAAGGAATGAATCAGCTAGTTGCCTGAGAAAGAATCAAGGAAAGGAAGAACTAGAAGATATGAATTCCAATGTTATTTTGTGCATTTCATCTTTTCGGTAGTAGAAGAAGTACATTTATATTGTTATTGAGATGTAGTAGTTATATTCTGACTTAGAAGAACAGATACTTCTGTGATTTCAAGTACATGTATGTCTTCCATTCACTCTTCGCCGTATGCACTGCATTTCTACACCAACTGCATATTTAACCTCACATTGTTCGAATGCAAGGAAAAAACGGGATAATTGGAAGATAAATGAATAGTGACTACCCATACTATAATAGCAACAATGAAAAAACAGGATCCCATATTCTCACACTTTCGTGGTGCCCGGAACATTTACACACCTAAATTACATCTCCAACTATTGTATGTTACTCAACTAAGCTGCATCCGGCCATCGGGCCGGGCACTAGGCTAGTACAATTAATATATCATCATTCGCTTTGCTTTCTCCACTTTACTATCCTCCAACTCCGCCCCGAAATTCCGCCTCCCCTGTCCTGGACCCTCCACCATTATTTCTCCGTCCAAGGCTTTGAGACTACTGTTGATCGTAACGTAACAATGATCGGAGTAGAACGAGAATTGAAACGAGACGGGATTTACGTGGTTTCCTTGTTCGAGTGTGATCGAACAAGACTAGTCCACGGGAAGGGGCGTAGCTTTCTTATTTTCTGTACCTCCAACGTAGCACACTAGGTTACATATATACACACGGCTATCTACGATTAACCCTAGCCGATCATCTACATCTAATGGGCCGAGCCCTTTTTACACAAGGCCTTAGGGCCGAATACTATGATACTCAACACCCTCCCCCAAATTTATGGGGAGTTCTCATCATCAATTTGCCAGCTAAGAATGAGTGTCGAGTAACAGTGAACGCCTTGGTAAAAAGATCTGCGAGCTGGTCCTCAGAGGAGATGTAGAAAATGCGAATGGTACCATCACGCACCAGATCGCGTATGTAGTGAACGTGTACTTCTATGTGCTTCGTATGGTCATTAAGAACAGGATTGGTAGCAATGAGAATGGCACTCATATTATCAACATATAATTCCAGCGGAGTGACACATGTAACCCCAAAGTCACCTAAGAGACGATGTAACCACACAAGCTCCGATGTGACATCAGACATGGCCCGATACTCTGCCTCGGTGGAGGATTTAGAGACACGATCCTAATTTTTGCACCGCCAGGAGATAACAGAAGAGCCAAGCCTAATACACCATCCAGTCGTAGAACGACGGGTATCAACGCAGCCAGCATAATCAGAGTCGGAAAAATCCTAAGAACAAGAGACCCCTGTGAGGGTAGGTGAAGACCAACATCCCTAGTGCCCTGTAAATATCGTAGAATCCTATGAACAGCGGCCAAATGATCATTGCGAGGTGCGGACATGAACTGACTGGCGATCTAGACGGCATAGGCGATGTCAGGCCGAGTAGAAGCAAGATAAATAAGACTACCCACTATGCTGTGGTACTGTTTCCCCCCTTCTGCCAAGAGATCACCAGAGTCCCTCCCCAGCTTCAGATTGAGTTCAATAGGAGTAGCAACAGGAACACAGTCGCTATGCCGAGTGGCATCCAAAAGATCATCAATATATTTCCTCTGGCTGAGTAGAATGCCTGACGAAGACCGAGACACCTCCCTAGCTCCTTGAGATTAAATGAATCATGAAGGCTTTAGGCAAGGCGGCAATACCCTCACTTTCATCACCGAAGACGATCATGTCATCCACATATAAGAGCAAAACTACCAGGCCCCGGGACGTGCGACGAGTGAAAACAGAGTGATCATTAGTGCTCTAAATGAACCCCAACCCCTGGATAGTTGATTGAAACTTGTCGAACCAAGCCCTGGGAGCTTGTCTAATACCATAGAGAGATCGCTGAATGATATGGAAAAAGCGTATATGCCAAATTCCTATCTCGTAGTAAACCGGAAGTCCGGGTATCATCTCTCAGGGACTGGTACAACCTAATGATTTATTGATTCTATAGAGCAAACTACAAGGGAAAATGGTTTGAGAGATAAACTATTATCTAAAAGCAAATAAAAATAAACTAATTAAGCAAAGTAAAGTTGTCGGGAGAAATTCAATGGAGAAAGCTCTGGGAGACACATCGGGATTCACTACCTATCATATCCAAATTAATTCACATATTCCAATCAATTTAATCCATATCTCTACAGCCAGGATATCACTACTGTGCTAGCTATCCCTGTCGGGAATTACTATGTACTAAACAATTAAATCAAATCCTACTATAGTAGCTCAATGACTTAATTATTTAGCCTGAAGATCGATATCCTATTCAAGACCACATAGCATCTTATTTAATCCACTGTCGCTTCGATAAGTTACTATGCCACATGAAATATGTTCAGTTATTAGGGTTTCATTGTCGCTAATAACCTAATTAACTACGATTCATTGTATTGGTGGCCAGTCAACACAAAGCATTAAGTAATTTCATGCAATAGAGATTGGAGGAAAAGAAATACGAATTAATCCATCAAATCCAGAAATAGCTACATCCTATGGTGTTTCCCCCAGAAATCGGGGTTTAGTTCATGATGAAACTGAGATAAATCGATATAGTTTTGATCATCATATTCTAAATCAACAATAAGCAACTAATTTGGTTAAGAAAATCCAACCAAATAATTGCTTTCATTGAACTCAGTTCAAACTGCCTTGAAAAAACTCGATCGCCAAGCGCCCTACTGCTTTCCGCTCGTCCCAACTTGCTGCGCCCTCTGCCTTTTTTCTCCAAGCTAGATTTTCGTTCCCCTCAATAATTCCCCAGCCGCTTTGGCTTTTCCTTTTTCCCTTTAATTCCCCAGTTCCGTCCCAAAATTCTCCCTCAAAGAAATTCTATATCCGTCCACCAAAAATTCGTCCCCCAGAGAATTCCTTCCCCAAAATTAATCCCTAACAATTAAAAGTCCCCCTAGCCTCGTTTTTTTTTTCATTCAATATCTCTGGCCCAAAATAATTCCCCCAGAGAAGAATTCCCTTCTGTCCAAATTAATCCTCCCCAAAAATGTGTCCCACTCCTGTTCCTGGCCCAATTGCTTCTCCTTCCCAAGACAAAGCGATTTGGGCTCAATTAATTGCTTGTGCACTCGCTTCTTTTTCGTGCTTTCTCCACATGTAACATATCAAACTCATGGCACTAGGCCGTAATAGTTTTTCAACCATTCCCGGGTTAGCGAGCCCTAAAATAACACCAATCTGCTTAAACAGATCATAGGATAGTCACATAAAGTTCAAGAATCCGATATATTAAAGCCAATTATCACTGAAGAAGACATACCGAGTCAGGTGGACCATCCAAATACCCAGGTGGTCGTTCCATGTACACCATTTCCTTCAACTCCCCGTGAAGAAACGCATTCTTGACATCTAGCTGATATAGAGGCCATCCTTCGAGAGTAGCAACAGCAAGTAGAGTGCGGACAGTGACCATCTTTGCAACAGGGGCAAAAGTTTCCTCAAAGTGAATCCCATACTCCTGAGTAAAGCCCTGGGCAACTACACGAGCCTTATGCCTCTCAATAGTGCCATCTGGATAAACTTTGATTGCATACACCCACTTGCTGCCCACAACAGGAATCTCTGGGGGTGGTCGAGGTACAATAACCCAAGTATTATTGGCCAGGAGAGCCGAAATCTCATCGGTCATCGTGGCATCCCAAACTGGATCACCCTTGGTCTGTCAATAGCGAGTGGGAACATACAGGGGAGCAACCTGAAAAGAAAAATAGTCCATATGACGAACAGGGGGCTGCCCCAGGTTAGCACGTGATGAACGACGAAGAGGAACTGGTGACGTGATCAAAGAAATTCTATATCCGTCGACCAAAAATTCTTCCCCCCAGAGAATTCCTTCCCCCAAAATTAATCCCATGCAATTAAAAGTCCCCCTAGCCTCGTGTTTTTTTTTTCATTCAAAGTCTCTGGCCCAAAATAATTCCCCCAGAGAAGAATTCCCTTCCGTCCACAAATAGTCCCCCGTCCAAATTAATCCTCCCCAAAAACGTGTCCCACTCCTCTTCCTGGCCCAATTGCGTCTCCTCCCCGAGACAAAGTGATTTGGGCCCAATTAATTGCTTGTGCACTCGCTTCTTTTTCATGCTTTCTCCACCTGTAACATATCAAACTCATGGCACTAGGCAGTAATGGTTTTTCAACCATTCTCGGGTTAGCGAGCCCTAAAATAGCACCAATCGGCTTAAACAGATCATAGGATAGTCACATAAAGTTCAAGAATCCGATATATTAAAGCCGATTATCACAACCCCACACTCAATTGTTGCTTGTCCCTAAGCAACGACTCAAAAGACAAAGACACAAAACCATCCACAACAATGACACATCACAGACTCACCAATCAAACCTTCGACACAAAACAAAACTTTCCTTCTACTCTTGTTGTAATCAGTAGTTTCTTTCTCAAAGACAAGTTGTGCTTTAATGATCATATCTTTCACCCCACACTCAAGTCTTTTGCAACCATTTAACATCGACTGACTCCAATCCATCAAAAACACAAATAGAAACACTCAATTCCGATCGTCGGTAGTGGGTGATTAACAAATTATGGTGTAACAGTTATTATGAGAATCTAAACACATCAGTGAGGTGCATATCTTGTGAGGACAATCTGGATTACTCACACAAATCATAAGCAATTAACAAAGCATGAGTCTCAAAAAACTAATGGGGGAAGCCTTTTGCAAACATGATTTTAACTTTAAGCATATCACTACCTTTTATGACAAGGAGAGGCTTTCTCTCTTTCTGATTTTGCTTGCCGAGTGATCGTATTTAGTACAAGTGGGATTTGTTTCTTACTACCGGTGACCGAGCAAGAGCAATTTCTGCTTCTTAGTACTCGCATAAGGGCTTCTTTCAACTCCTTTTCCTCGGTCCGTGTGGAGGGTCACTGCACATCCTCAAACGAAACTTCACTCAACGGGGGATCGTACTTGATAAGCAACATCGTACGGTCACGAACCGATTCTCAATTGAATATTTCCTCATCCCCATGTGCAATGAGTGATTGCCTCACACGATTTTGGCATTTTTACCCACACTTTAATTGTTATGGCAACTTTCTTATATTTTACTTGTCAGGTAGTGTTTTCTTTTATGAAGATACAGTTCACCCCATCATAAAACAATCAAAATAGAGATTGCAAAATCAAAAGCTCACAATTGATGCAAGTAAGCACGGTATCCAAACATGTCGAATGGTCAATGTTCTCCACCTAACTACTTCACCAAAAGTCATTACACTATCCTCACAAAAGAGAATGTTGCTAAAAGAGTTTGCTCATTCAAAGCATATCAAGTCAGTCAAAACATTCAAGCTCATTGTGAAGAACTTTGCAATTCAACACTAGTGGGGTGATTTTGATGATTTCCTTCAAGCACAAACTCATTTCACACACATCACAGTCATTTACATCATGTTACCACAAGAGTACAAGGTTTTGTTTTTAATTTTTCTGATTTTTAGGTGTTTTTTGGCCATTAGCTTTGCATAGGCAGACTGTACCAACACAGGCAAACTGCATGCAGTTTGGATATGTTCAACCTAATGGCAATTTTTTTTTTACCACATGCAACAGGGACAAACAACACTAAGACTCACCACCCCACACTCAGGATGGAACATTGTCCCTAATGTTCAACTCCTAATCTAAACATGCACGGGTTTGACACAACAAAAAAGAGAAAATAAAGAAAGGAAAACTTACCTTGGGTTGCCTCCCAAGAAGCGCTTGTTTAACGTCCTCAGCCTGACGTTCATGGAGCTTTCAACCAATGGGTATGGAAAGGTATCTAGAATACCCTCCCGAGCAATGATAGAATTCATAACCTCCATCCAACATATGAGTCACCTCAGCAGGGCCAGGTGTGCGAAAATTTGGTATGACCTTCTTAGCTAGCATGTTGGACCCTTTAGTGAGGTGTAGGTGGTATTGCAACGCCTCAAGCAAGTAATCTTCCTGTTTCAATGTCAATGAAGAAGGAATAATAACAGGAAGATTGAAATCCTTACCCAAATATCTATACTTGAGGTGACCTGGCAAGCATTTCTGCCCTTGCTTTGATTTCAGACTTCCAGCAGATAGGACATGTGATAGTTGTTCAGGTTGTCCACTATCACAGGAGAAGGGATTTTTGCTTTCTCGAGCTCCACTTTCAAAGTCATCAAATGCATCATGATTATGATCAACTTGAAAGACATTAAAAATTTCCTCCTCCTTACCTACTCGGAATGTCAACTTGCCTCTCCCAACATCGATGAGTGCATCGCCAGTGGCTAAAAAAGGTCTACCAAGAATGAGAGGCACTCCCTGATCTTCTTCCATCTCCAGAATCACAAAATCTGTAGGGAGAATAAATTTCCCCACCTTCACCAATACATTCTCCACCACTCCCTTTGGAATTTTCACTGGTCGATCGGCCAATTGGAGAGTGATCCGAGTAGGCTTAAGAACATCTCCCAATCCCAATTTCTTGTAGACTGAGTATGGCATCAAATTAATGCCTGCTCCTAGATTGCAGAGTGATTTATCGAACTCTCTACCTCCAATGACACATGGAATGGTAAAGCTTCCTGGATCATCCCTCTTTTCTGGTAATTTATTCTGAATCACGTCACTGCATTCAGAAGTAAGGGTTACCTTCTCCAAATCAGCCCATTTGCGCTTCTTTGTCAGCAACTCCCTTAAGAATTTAGCATATGTAGGCATCTGTTCAAGTGCCTCCGCCAATGGTATGTTGATATGAAGTTGCTTGAAGATATTCACAAATTTCTTGAAGTTTGGGTCTTCCATTGGATTTATTAACCTTTGAGGGAATGGTGCGGGAGGTTCATAAGGCTTTACCTCTTCATTCTTGAGTTTTTCCACTTTTGGAGTTGCACAGGTTGAA